CATCCATCCATCCATCCATCCATCCATCCATCCATCTAGGACGCTGACCCCTGGGGTGAAGCCGGGGTGATTATACAGGCTGGGATTCACCGTCCAGGCCAGGCACAGCTCCTCGTCTTTGAGGGGGGGCTCAATGAGGTGCTATCGAGCAGCGTTTCCCAACCCAGTCCTCGGGGACCCACAGAAAGTCCACATTTTTGCTCCCTCCCAGCTCCTGGTAAAAAACATGGACTGTCTGTGGGCTCCCGAGGACTGGGATTGAGATGCACTGGATTGGGAAACACTGCGTTAGAGGGATGAGACTGTGCAGTAAGTGATCATTCTCTGTGTGGAGCAGTATGAGCTGACCATTCAGTGAACAAGGCAAGGCAATGACCAAAAGCCAGCCAGGTAGAGGGCAGAAGCAACTTTCTAATGCCAGAGATGACTGTCAGCTTAACCAGCAGTGCCTCATAAATCGGAGGATGACCTCAAGTGACCTTCAAAAAGAATGGGAAACATTAAGTGGTGTGAAGTGAACAGCTAGGACAGTTCGTATCAGGCTCCTAGAAGCAAGACTGAAGACTCATAAAGCAAGGAAGGAGCCCTTCATTCAGAGCCAGGCTGCAGTTTACAAAAAAAAATTATATTTTACAATGAGTGAAACCAGGGGCGTTTCTAGCTACTGAAAAGATCAGGGGCTAAGTCAAGTTTACGTGGGGCTTGACTTTTTGTATTTTTTGAAGGATGATTGGCATCATTTCTGTGGTCTCTAAATTTTTTCCAGAGCTGCATAATGTTATGGGCCAGGGATGTTGCTGGGGAGGTTAGTTTACATAGTGTGTCCCCATTCATTTTCAATACAATCAGACCCCCCTAGTAAGGGCTCAGCCCTTTGCAGGAAGGGGATATCATCCCAAGCAGCAGTGCCACGGGCTTGTTTGCTCTGTGCACCGGTGGTTGCAAGAGGAAGTCACATGAGACACTGAAGGGCTGCAAGACTAATTTCCTGTTTTTTTGTACTGTTTTATTTTCTTATGATTGACCTTTGCATAAGGTCATTACAGTAGGAAATGTTACAATTTAAATTTAGTTTTTTTGTTTCCATCTGGGTGCATGAGTGTATTTACAAGTAAAATACATTTGATCATATGAAAATGAATGGAATGCTTTGTTTTGGTTAGACTACTCTCCTTTGGCTGATGGCCTGCAAATGAAAGCAAGGTTAGAATGCATGGGGGTTCAGTGAGTTGCACTGTGGGTTTGATTTCCAGCCCTGAATCTGCATTGGCATGTTCTCTGTTCATGTGGGTTTCTTGCAGGTGCTCCAGTTTTCTCTCACAAAAGCCTACATTGAGGTGAATCGGTGTCACTGAATTCCCCAGAGTGTGTGACTATTTGTCCTGGCCTTGGGATGCTCTGGCATCTTGTCCCCTGTCTCATGCCATTACACTGATTGGCTCCAGGTTCATGATGAACCTGTACTACAAACGTTATGGAAGAATGGGTGAATGAAAGAAAGGGAATAATGTGTAACTGCCATTCTAGACCTGCATGAAGTCGGCCCCCCATATATTTCAGATTTCAACCAAACCGATCGCAATCGTATGTACCGCGTTTGTGCTGGTTTGTGCCGTTAAAACTGTCCTTTGTGCTGCTTTAGTTTCTGAGATATTAATGTTTGTTTACATGGTCACGTGACACCAGCGTGAAGTTAGCCTCCCATTTGTGTCTGATTTCCACCAAACCGATCGCAATCGTATGTACTGCGTTTGTGCCGGTAAAACTGTCCTTTGTGCTGCTTTAGTTTCTGAGATATTAATGTTTGAAATGTTGTCCCCCCTCCCATTTGCGTCTGATTTCGACCAAACCGATCGCAATCGTATGTACTGTACTGCGTTTGTGCCGTTAAAACTGTCCTTTGTGCTGCTTTAGTTTCTGAGATATTAATGTTTGTAAGGTTGTCCCCCCTCCCATTTGCGTCGGATTTCGACCAAACCGATCGCAATCGTTTGTGCCACTAAAACTGTCCTTTGTGCTTCAGTGCTGATATATTGCTTATTTACTTGGTCACGTGACTCCGCCGTTAAGTTAGCCCCCCATTTGCCTCCGAATCGGTCTCAATAGTTTGTGCTGTTTAAAAGTTGTCTGTACTATTTTTCAGAATTATACCTCTTAGTTTATGCCTTTACGTGATCGCCGTATAGTGCTCAGGCTCATGATTCTCATGATAACAGAAGGTGGAGCGTTTGATGACTCAGCGACAAAGCTGCACGTAGACTTAGTCAGCCCCGCCAGCCCGAGACCACATTTCAATACAGACAACTTTTAAACAGCACAAACTATTGAGACCGATTCAGAGGCAAATGGGGGGCCAACTTCACGCTGATGACGTCACCATGTAAACAAATATTTATATCTCAAAAACTAAAACAGCACAAACAAACAAAACTTTTAATGGCACAAAAGCGGGACATACTATTGAGACCAGTTTGGTTGAAATCTGAAACATATGGGGGGCCAACTTCACGCAGGTCCTTTACCTCAGTTCTAATCAAACAATTGTATCAGTTAGAGATGCTGGGGGAGGGGTTAAAATACAGGAAATATATAGTGAACAGGGTGTACTGTATGTGTTGCATGATTAGTGCCCTGTCTAATCTATGCAATGAAATATAACAAAAATGTATTAAATCCTTTAAGCACGGATGATGGTAATCTTTTTCTTGCATATATATATATATATATATATATATATATATATATATATATATATATATATATATATAAATGTCTGATAGGGTGCTTCTGCATATCTGGTGACAGTTAAGCGGCAGTTTGACACTGTGGTGGTGTCTGACTGATGCATTCTGGGAATGTGCTATTCACACTGCCTTTATAGCCTCTGCTTTGCATGGGGCCTCATAAGTGGGTAGTGGGTGATGGAGATCTGCTATTATGGAACGAGCAGAAGTGATGGAGGGGAAGAGTTACAGGGTGGTGTCTCTGCCTCCCTGTCTGTTATGAGTGAGTCACTCTGGCCGGTTGGTTGCACTAGATGTTGCACAAGACTTGCTGGTCTCATAAGAGCCAAGCATGCATACTGTCAATGATCATACTTCTGTGTTACACAGCAATCAGTCACAACTAGTTTCAGACTATTATTATAACTTGAAAAACCCCAAAATAAATAGGTAAATGTTTCATTTATAAATTGCCAATCATTTCAGATGTTTTCTAGGCTAATGCGCCCACCACAGTACTCCATGTTAAGAAATTTTAAAAATGCGCAATGAGCCCCACAACTGAAACAGACTGTTGCACTGAATAAAGGGTCGACCAGCAGCGCAGGATATCAGAATTAGTGAAGTTTCCCTGGTGTCAGGCTGGGAAAACTTGATTTTTATTGCAAACAAAGCGTGCAATATGCCCTGATGTGTTAGCATTTTACAAAGTTCATTGGCTTAGAAAGCTTCTGCAGTTATTTAAGAACTGCATGGCTCAGTAGGTTGCAGGGTGCAAGACTGATACACATGCAGTGGGTGTAGGGACTTTATGAGTCAAACCGTTTTGAAATGTTTCTGTCCGGAAATTGCTGCTTCTGTCGGTTACAGATATAGAGTTCCTGAACAGTCAGAGAGCCATGAACCTGCCAGTGTGAACCTGGTATTTACTTACTTCCTTATTATAATAAAAGGCTGATTAGTTTGAATCCCATCTTAGACATCAGTATACAGCACTTTGCTAAAATGATATTTAGTATATTACATTTTCACAGGGGAGAAACACACTTTTTCATAGGTTTTGAGAAACATAGAAACAGGAAGAATTTTGAAGGTATGTCTTTGAAATACACTAAAATATTCCCTTCCATCCCCTGTGTTTTTTATAGAATGTCGATTCATATTCAAAATTTCTTCCTCTGCCTCTGTGTCTCTCTTACATCGCAGTATTTTGCATCACATGAACGGAAACCATTCTGTCATTCAACAGGAAGGAACGCATCAGTGCTACATTTCTCTAAAACTGCTGGGGAGCTACATGTGTTTCATTACCTGTTAAGATGAACAGAAAAATTGCACTAATTTTGGGAGCCTTGATAACTCTCTCTGTGGAGACAGGTATGTTTTTTTCAGAATTTATGTAGTGGTACTATAGCTGAAGTTAACCTAATAGATATCTAAAATAAGATCTAAACTACTCAAACTTTTTAGATTAAAATATATATAATAAGTAAATTCTCCACAATCATGTTTAGTTATTATTTTGTGAAACCCTTTTCATATTTTTGGGATTATTAGTGGGTAAAACTTAAGAAAGATTAAAAAGTAATGAGAGAGACATTTCATACATAGAATGCGGATTATTCTACGTCATCTCTGCTAAATATCAAACTTAAAATGTTCTGTTGACGTGACTAAAACCCGGTTCTTACGGAAGAGATTTATGGCCAATGAAGAGCAGAAAAAATAATTCATTTTGACATTAAAGCAAAGTACAAAGTCAAAATAAACTTTTGATGAACTTTCAAATGAAAAGTCCACAGTTAAACGGGATAAACCTGTCAGTGACTGTGAGGTATCTGCAGGAGGTGAATCGTCTTACATGACAACCCCATACAGATGCCTCACATTCAGCTGCTTTCTGGGTTCATTCCATATGAAATGAAGGCTATTATACACAAGCCAAGTTTGACAGGCCATTCCTCAGAATTTTCCATTAAGGTATAAAGATGTCATAGCTTCTGAACGGCAAGGCCCTAGGCTATTTCCAGACAAAATTTAGTCAGCTTTTACTGTACCACTTTGAAATCTATGTTATTTTGTGATATGAGCCAAATTTGACAGGACATTTCTCAGAACTTTTCCATAATGTTTAAACAAGTCCTACACCTACTGAAAAGCAAGGTCCCAATGTATTTCCTGACAAAATTTGTTCAACTTTTACCATACGGTTTTCACAAAATTGCATTCTGGATTTGAGGTCTGATCAATTACTTGCCTGGTTTTTGAAGACAGAATCAGGGCAAAGCAAGATGGGTTAATCCACTCACAATGGCAGGAATACAAAGGGATTGCAGGGGAGCTCAACACTGGGGTCAACATCAAGACTAGCAGGACTAATCATATCAGTATCAAGACTGGATAACACAAGATTGGAAGGCACCATTGTGCCGCTCTTAGTCACAACGTCCCAAGTATCTTGAACACAGATGTTTATTCACAGCGCCTAAGCACCGCCGTAAACACCGTAAAACTAAAGATACAGAACAAACACAAAGAAAATACATCAATTACATATTCGCTAAAAATAAGATACAAACAACGATAAAACTCAAAGTACAACGTACCACTTTTGCCTGCTTGTGAGCTAAGAGGGAAGTTTGATACTGAAAATCCTTGCTAAATGCTTCCTTTAACTCCTTGTGCAGTCCAAAAACTCCAGAGCCGCTTATGTCCACTTATTACTCTCCCGCCGGCATACAGGAAATGACGTGTAATGACCGCAGTTACAGTAAAATATAGACAAAAAATACTTAAAGGAAACAACCCTTAATCAAATAAAATTCCTTTTCCATTCTGAAATGTAAGCAATATTAAATATAAATATAACACAGAAGAAATTAATCA